GTCAGCGGGTGATCATGGCGCGCGTTGCACGGGGGCCGATCGACGGACAGGAGCCAGCGCCGGGTGCTTGCAACAGATCTCAGACGGCACTGACGTGTTGTGTTGAGATCGGAGGTGTACGCCGGAAGTGGCCCTGTGGGGGTTTGCGAAGGTCAGAGCGGGATGCGTATTGACCGAATGAGCGAGGAAGTAAGACTAAGAGCACGGGTTGCAACTCCAGGTGGCGGCTGTGCTGTATTGATAATATGTGATTTGTTACTCCCTCCATCTCTTTCTATACCCACGCACAAATCCATCTCATGCATGCATGCATGAATGGAAGGCTAAATCCATTTGCGATGATGAAATGTGCTGTAGCAACATTGCGGCCGGAACAAGCCTCCGCTTGCCCTAGAATAGCTATTTCTTCCCCTTGGCGAACTCTGGATGCGCCTTTGCTGATCCTCCTGAGCTCTGCCGCCACGCCCTCCCTCCCCCCTCCCCCCCCCCCCTGCCCCGTCGCTGGCCACGTGCCGTCCGAGGCGTGGCGTTCGCAGGCGAGACGCCGCGAGACAACAGACTGGCGGCGCGGCGCGGCGCGGCGACGCTGCCTGGCAAGGGCGCATCCAGGGATCGCGACGCAGGAGGCGGCCGCTGTGTCATCTGATGTCGATATCCTGCTCGTTTGGACGCTGAAGCGTACAACATTTGCTACATCCAGTGAACCAACTGATCTAATTAAACCATACTAATATGACCGGCGGATGGCCCTCAGTCGATGTCCTGATTGCGCCGCTGTGGTGCGCATTATTGTATGACTAAGGCTTCAGTTTCACGGACCTGCTCTCTGACTAGACGCTGCAGCTTGGAGACTGTTCGGCCAGGAATGTGAATATGAGAGTAAACAGCAGGCTTCATGGGTGCCTGCAAGTGTATAACTATGCCATGTTTGCACGACGACGTCATTATCGCTGATTTATGCTTTAATGACAACAACTCCAGTAATTGCTGGGTGAATCTGTGGCACCAGGCACGCTTGCAATGGGTTTAGGGAATAAGTGGACTTAAAATCGCGAACAGACGCTTCTTAATCAGCCAAAGTAGAGTCAAACCAGGCGCGCCGTCGTCGCCAACCGCTCGGCTATTTCTCCACCTAATTTCCATAAGCCACCACTGCCTCGTCGACTCCTCAAAAGCACCGCGCCAGCCCGCGCTGCCTTCCTCGGATCCCGCGGCCGGCTCCCTCCCAGCCGTTGCATCACGTCGGCGTGTTGTGGAACTCGACCGGGCCACATGTCGCCGGCGTTGCAGACTAGAGACTGCCGCCACGGCCGGCGGCGGCGGGCCCCGCGGGCCCGGCGCCGGGGGCGGGCTGCCGCCAGTCTGGCCCCGCCGCCGGCGCCGACCGCCGCCTCCGGGAGCCATGCTCGCCAGTGAGGGGCGCGAGGAGGTGCGCAGCGAGGAGGTAAGGAGGGGGAGGAGGCCCGCAGCGTCGCGTAGGGTGTGGGTGGGATGAGTTACCTCGAGGAGGGGCAGATCTGTAAAAAGGTAAGAAGGCCTGGAGGACCACGTGGAGGTGGGGGGGGGGGGGGGGGGGGAGATTGAGTCATATGTCACGAGATTAAGGAATTCGGGGTGAGACATGGGAGGAGGTCAGGTCCGGGGATAACGCTGAGGTCGAATGAGTCACTTCAGATAGGAGAAGACGCACGGGATGGTCCGTGATAGTGTGGAATTGTGGATTTATGAGCCATCATTAATGCGGGGACTTGTGGGCTTAGAAGGCGGGTGGGGTGGGGCCGGCGCTGGTGCCGATATCTCAGGCTCGTATCTAAAAGTGAACATAAGTCCCTAAAGCTCCTCGTTATCCGAATCCTGTAGTCAAAACCCGACGCAGACAGTGATTTTAGGTTCAGGTCGAGCTGCTTCCGCAGACTGGTGCCTGCCATCCTCAACATGGTACCTTCGCCGGTGTCAGTCTTGGCTCAGAAGATGTGAAAAAAGGAAAATCACGAGAAAGCAACGCACAGTATACGTGTGGCCATCGAGATGATTAATCACGCCGTGAGCGTATGGCTCAAGGGCTGTGGAAGGAGGTAGGCTTTGCAGAGGTAAGGATCTCAGGAATACAAGGGTGACTCATGTTCCGAGGTTAGAGCAGGCTTTGCAGAGGGAGGTGTTAGGACGTAAGCATGTCAGGAACAGGGTGACTCACGTTCGCGGGTGGGGGTGCGAGGGGAAGGAGGAGAGCTGCATTGGGTCGTAGGTCACATATGTGGTCCGCCACTCATGCACCATGGGAGGACGTAAGATACGCTCCAACAGGAGGTAGACTTTCGGTAGTGGGGATTCATTAAGCTGATTTTCAATGCATCGAAACCACGTGCATGTAGCTTACTGTCGCACAGAGCGTGTATGCTCTGCGCAAGGTAATGCCTTAAGAGTTCTCATGATTCCGTGGTTTTGTCTGTTGGTAACTTCCTTGCAACGGATCGCCGGTGCCGCCTCTTCCCGTATGTGGTGTGCGAGGCGGACAGGTCCCGCACGGGGCCCTAATATGCCATCTGGCAGTGTCCTTCGCGATTTTGTACCGATCGGGCGGTGCAAATTTGGACTTGTCTATCCATGTTCCGGGAAGCGTTCCTTCTCATCTCAACATTGAGGAAATGCCACTTAAAGGCGCTTGCTCGTGGTGTTAATTCCTCTGGCATAAATGCAACTAAATGTTTCCCAATTCACTCGCCATTGCCTTTAATACAATTGTCAGTTTCAGGAGGGCACTTACATTTTTGCCACATTCAGTCACTGACTGGGCATGGTGCATGTTAGGAGAGAGCAACAATTCCCTCATAAATTCATCATGAATTTCCTTGTCCTGATTTGCCGTTTTCCATAACGCGGACCGATAGAGGGGTCATTACGACCCCCTGCCGTTTCTAGACTAAGAATTATAAAGCTTAGCGGAAAACACCAGTGGTTTGATCGTAACGAGATCTCGAGATAGGCAATGGTTTTCATGTTTCTAGGTCAATGATAGCCCCCATTATAGCCGGTCCAAGTCAAATGTGGGCATGGATGCCTCACAGGCTACCAAAAATTTCAATGCGATCACACACCATACCAGAGAGGTATCCTCAGAAAACCCAGGGAGAGGGTCGCGTAGACCCCCCCCCCCACACACACACACCCTCCCCCCCAGAGCCAGAGCGAGGCAAGGCCTTGCAGAGGCTTTGCAGAGGTAAGGATATCAGGAATAAAGCCTCAGAGCGGGGCTTTATATATTTCTGATCGATGACACACCCACTCAAATGCGCTCTCACTTCAGCAAATTCACCGCAAACGACGTCGTGAATGTCATGCGGCGCTCATTCCGGCATATGTCAGTTGGCGATTTGCGTCATCACTCAACTGGAATCTCGACTGCCTTGCAGTGCCTCAAATTTGTTAATCATTGCCGCGCTCTCAGCTTACCAGCACGACGTACCTAAACGAAATACGATTCCCCAAGATCGGTAGCCCGCTCGCGGCTAATGACCGAGCCTCTGGTTCCCTATCTGAACGGCATATGCAGAGGAAGGGTCACGGGGTTGGCGCGTCTCTCACCAGTAGTGCGACCAGAAAGTGGGGATAAGATGCATGTTGCAAATCAACAGGGCGGACAATCTGTTTAGACTTTTTTTCGCCCCGCCCCATCCGCAAGCTGTGTGCACGCCCTGTGCGGCGCTGTGTGCACGCCCCTGTGCGGCGCTGTGTGCCGCCCCTGTGCGGCGCTGTGTGCATGCCCCTGTGCGACGCTGTGTGCCGCCCCTGTGCGGCGCTGTGTGCCGCCCCTGTGCGACGCTGTTAGCACGGGAGACGATATTCTGCGGACGGCGGCTCTGTGGCCGGCAGGCGACTCCGTCCCGAACCTGGCTCCGTTCCCGGACCTGGCTCCGTCCCCGGACCAGGCTCTGTTCCGGGACCAGGCTCCGTCCCCAGACCTGGCTCCCTTCCCGGACCTGGATCCCTCCCCGGACCTGGCTTCCTTCTCGAACCTGGCTCCGTCCCCGGACCTGGCTTCTCTACCGGACCTGGATCCCTTCCCGGACCTGTCTCCGTCCACGAACCTGGCTCCGGGTTCCAGACACTGCTCTGGATTCCTGGCGAATCTGGGATGGTCGGCCGCGTGCTTCCCCTCCCCCCCCCCCTGTCTTTGCTAGTGCAGCGCTCTCATTCGAAGGAGCTTAGCTCATCAGCCTAAGAAAGGACAGCTTGTTGTCGAGACTCGGCATACCCAACTTAGTGAGTGCATAATGCTCTTTTGGCGGCGTGGTACTGCCTCAGGCCCTGGCCAAAGCACCTGGGAACTCTGTCAACTAGACTGACGTGCAATTGCACAGCATTGTCACCTCATGCGGAGTGTGCTCGCTGCTCATGGGCGCGATCGGCGTCGTTTCGGACCGAGGTGAATTTCAGAGATAGTCGGCACCCACCGAACTCTGAATTTCAATTGCACCGTTTAGCAGACCATGGTCCTGCCCATTGTCCGTCTTGCGTTTACCGCACTGTTCTCAATTCTAAGGAAGCCAGTTGCTCACCCATCTTGCCGGCTGTTCTCCATCTCAAAGAGCTGTTCCTGCCGGAGCGGGTGAAGTCGCTTGCACCTGACCTCCCGGAGCCTCTCTCGCCCCATCTCAGCCAGCGACTCCCGCCCCATCCCACGGATCCACTCCCGCGCCATCAGTCACTCCCACCCCGTCTCACGGATCTGCTCCCGCTCCTTCAGTCGCTCCCGTCCCGTCTCACGGATCCGCTCCCGCACCATCAGTCGCTCTCGCCCCATCTCACGGACTCTTGCGCACCCTCTCCCCCGGAGTCACGTCCTCTTCATCTGACGGAGCCGCCCCGCCGGTAGGTGGCGCCGAAGCCGGAGTCGTCGCCGCGGGAGCCGCCGCCAACGGCGCCGCGGGAGCCGCCGCCGCCGGCTCCCACCAAGAGCGCGGCTCCGGCCAAGGGGGCGGCGCCGGAGCCGCCGCGGCGCGCCGACGAGCACAACCGAGAACGTCAGCACCGGGAGTGGCGCACCAGGCAGCTGGATGGCTGCGTCGGCTTCGCCAACCTGCCCAACCAGGTGTACCGGCGCGCCGTCAAGAAGGGCTTCCACTTCACGCTGATGGTGGTCGGTGAGTGTTGACGGTGGTGGTGGCGAGGATGCCGTGTTGATAACGGCAGGTGATGAGTGGTGGGTGAGTGATCACGCCGGGGAGCGGTTTGTTTGGGGCAGGCGAGAGGTGAGAAGAAAGGGCTGGGCTGCCGATTAGGCTCAGTTCGTCCGGATGGAGATTGACGAGAGGTCTCGGTGATCCAGTGACCTAGATTTGAAGGTAAAATCGGATTGGATAGATCAGAGAACTTTTTTCGTTCTCAAGCTCGCGAGAGTTCGAGTCAAGTGTTTTGTGTCGTCGCTGAATCTGATCGAAGTTCGTGTCAGATCGGGAAAAGAGTTTCTTTTTCATCGGAATAGAAGGATGAAAGATGATTTCATCTTAATGTAATACAACATTCGCGAGACCAGGTGAGGAACACCCGCCTCACTCTGATGGGCTTTGGCAACAGAAAGAACGAAGCTTCCGCTTCACGCGGATGTTGGACACATCTTGATAATGTGTGTCGGGAAATGTCAGTGAAGGTATCGTCGACTCTGACCAGACGCATCGCCACTCTAAGTGTCGGGACGGCCATGTTTATGAGGTAGGAGCATTGGCGCGGCGTAGACGACTGGAGGCCGTGTGTTATTTGGAATGCACCCACTTGCGTTTTTGCCTTTGGTTCGCACCGGCAAAGTAAAGCGGTCAAACGGCACGAAACACTCTGACTTGTGCGCGGAGAACCCGAGGCGGGGCGCGGGGAGGACAGCCACTTCTGAGACCTGACCGTGGCTCTTAATGTACTGCATGTTAATGATGCACCAGTCTGGAGTACTGGCATTGACGGATCGTCCTGCGATGAGTAATGGTTTGACGGACCGGTGACGCACACCGCACCTGCTTCCCCCACCTGACAGAGTCGAGCATGAGATCTGCGCGCCGCGGCATGGACGCCGGTCATAAAACATCGCGTGCGCGCAAACTTCCGGAGAATTCTGCGCCAGTGGCTAATGCACTGGCTTGACTGATGGTGCATACTTCCGCCTAATTATCCGCCGAAACACATGATTTCAGGAAGGAAAGGATTCGGAAGAGGAGGCTCACTTATTTTGCATGTGCTGGTTTGGCGGATTCGCGTAAGCATCAACTGGGCTGATGTATATGCACCCTCGGCCGTAGGATCGTTCGGCACGACTGCGTCGCCTCCCCTCTGCAGAGGTCGTTCGGAGACGGCAGACGGCGTTTAGTGCCTCCGGCTGGGGAGCGGGTGGGGGGGGGGGGGGGGGAGGGGCAGCTGTCCGGCGTGGGCAGGTGGGGCGAAGTGCAGCCGAGCAGCTGCCGTCTGCGGGGCAGGGGAAGGGGGGGGGGGCAGGCTCTCGCATCAGCACGCGCGTCTGGACTTTTAGCCCGCCAGTCGTGTGGTCACGTGGTCTCAGGCGGTGCCGTCCGTCATCGTGTTGGCATGGCTGGAGTCTAGGCTGTTTTCATTTCCGGCACCGGCGCGTGCTGTTGACGCTGGAAAATCCCCCCGCCGTCACATTTTCGTTCTGTTATACATTCTGGCGGTGCGCCGGCGGTGAGAGACGGGGACGCGCGAGGCGGCGCCTGCGTTGAGATAGGGCCATGCACCCTGGTAGAGGTGGTCCGAGATCTTTGAAGTTCCTGCAACGTTCTGGTATCTCATTTAATCTTGCGTTAATGGAATGAGTTGCAAAAAGTTGTTTGTTCTTTCAGTAAACAGGTTGATTAATTGTGATAAATGAGTGCGGCCACGGATTTCGTGCGGGGAAAAATATAGAGACATCCACCGCAGGGGGCTGGACTGGGCTGCGACACAAGTGGTTCGTGGATACTACCCTCCCGCGATTTGAAAGAGGTCAGTTGATAACCTGGCGCGTTTTGCTCTTCCATGGTTCCCTTGTATATCCCCAAAATTCGCCCTCTTCCTCGTTGTTTGCTTTGGGACTTCCCTAGTGATTAAAGACAAGGCTTCGCACATCCTCAGACAACACTTAAAGTCGTCTGCATTGTGCGTTCAACGAAGGCTGTCTACCTGATTCCACGGCGAGTAGGTCATGGGAAAGCCCAACGTCCTTCCGCAGTTTCTACCTTTCCGCACAGACGTCAGCGAAATGTGAGTGGCAGACGAAATGTAATTGGGCGGCACTTCCTCTGAGCTGCCCTTGAGTCGGCCAGCTTTCAAGGAAATGCCAGCCATTCCGAGACACCGTGATACTTGTGCTCAGCCACCTTTCAAGGAAATGCCAGCCATTCCGAGACACCGTGATACTTGTGCTCAGCCATTTGTTCCCGTTACGGGTATCAAGCGTTCAATGCTCTAAGGTTTCGTGCCAGAGCTCGATGAAGTCAACGGCTTGCCTGCGCTGTTTGCAGCTTAGCTGCTGCATTCGGGCACGGAGACAGCGATTGTGCATTAGCCCCGGACTGCGGAGATTTGGACTTCTGACGTTTATCCGCTGCCAAACGTCGTCAAATCTCGGACCTTCTGTGGCTTGCATGGTCTCCTGCGTCTCACGTGCCACGTGCATCACGTGATACCTCCTGCTTGGCGTGTGCTCGGCGTCCCACATGCCATGTGTTTCGTGTCTTCTTTCCCACGTATCTCGTGTTTATTTCTCAGCTCACATTGTGTGTGCTCCGTCCGGCGTGAGGCGTCTCTTGCGTCTCCTCTGTTACACTCTCCGCCTCACGTGCTGTCTCCGGCGGGCCGTGGCGGCGACCAGACCCGCTAGCCGCCTGTCGTGAACCTGCCGCCTCGCTCCCACGGGCCCGGTCGGCCACCAGACCGCGCAGGGCGGCGCCTCCGTCTGTCGCGTCCCCGCGCCCTGCCACGCGTGCGGCGACCGGCTGGGTGTGACGTCACACCGGCGGCAGACGGCGTGTAAACAAACCAGCCTGCTGCTGACGGTCGCACTGTGGCCCGTGTTTACCAGACCCCATCGGCTTCTTTCGAACGGATAGTTTCCGATTTCAGTAACTTTTAACGTTCGCGGTTCGTCGACGTTGGTACGGAAAAGGTGGATGTCATAAGTGTTCAAGGATGTCGCCATCCCCCCGCCCTCCGCACGTGTAGCGATGTTCCACATACCGCCCCGGCGTGGGTGCCGGGGAAGGTATGTTGCCGTCCCAATGAATGGGCCGCCCAGAAATAGATGCCGCTTCTGGCAGTCGTCCAGGCCTAACAATGCGGCGAAGGGAAAGGAACGAATCCCTATGTACCGTTGGAGGTGCGAAGACGCAAGCTGGTGGCGTGGAGTTGTTGCCCAGCCCTCCGAGAAAAGCACGGCATAAGAGGTCATAGCCATGAGTCTCGGATCTGGGTTTTCAGGCTTTTTTGAAAACGTCCTCGTCACTCTTGGGAACCACCACACTTGATAAAACGGATGGATGTGGAGAGCACATCCATGCCAACCAAAAATAGTCGTAGTGTTGGAACAGAGCCGTGTACGATAGCGAAGAACGGAAGCCTGGCCAGGTGTCGTCCGCCAGTAGCCAAATGTAGCACGTTGCAAAAATTTTGCTCAAGAGGATGGGGGAGGGACAAACGTCAACTTTTTCCGAAATCCTGAGGATCCGAACCAAACCCCTGCGAAATTTCCCGGCATCTAGTGTACAGCTCTCGGTTACCGGGGGCCCTCCCTTTCTTGGTTCTCTTGGCCCTCCCTGCGGCCATGTCCATGTCTGGCTGCGTCATCAGCTGCGGAGCTGGTGCCGGAGCTGGTGCCGGAGCCGGTGCCGGAGCTGGTGCCGGAGCTGGTGCCGGAGCTGGTGCCGGAGCTGGTGCCGGAGCCGGTGCCGGAGCTGGTGCCGGAGCTGGTGCCGGAGCTGGTGCCGGACCGGCGGCGAAAGCGGGCTGGTGTCGAGGACCCGGTCTCGGAGGCAGGGACCCGGCCTCGGCGACCGGGACTAGGCCTCGGCAGCGGGGGCCCGGCTGCGGAGGCCTTAGAGGCGAGGACTCGGACTCGGTCCCAGCGTCGAGGACCCGGTCTCGGAGGCAGGAGCCCGGCCTCGGCGACCGGGACTAGGCCTCGGCAGCGGGGGCCCGGCTGCGGAGGCCTTAGAGGCGAGGACTCGGACTCGGTCCCAGCGTCGAAGACCCGGTCTCGGAGGCGGGGACCCGGCCCGGCCTGGAACCGGCCGGTGAGCGATGGCCAGGCGCCGTCGCGTCACGGACTGACAGTCACCGCCGCGTGGCGGTCGCCGCCGAACGGACGACCGACGCTGCGGTACAGCGGGAGAGGGGAGGGTTTGAAAATGGAAGAGGAAAGGTAGAGGAGGAGAAAAGATGGAGGGCACTTGAAAGGTAGGGAAAGATTAGATAAAGGAGATAAGTAGCGACATGGCACGGGAAAAGAAGCAAGGATGCGATGAAAAGGGCAAATGGGTTACCAACGCATTCTGCTTAATCACATTTCAAAAGGCCTCATGCTGTCCCTGCTGAACGGTCTGTGGAATAGGAAGCTGAAGTGCCTACATTGCGTGAAGTTTTCAGTTAGGTTTACATAATCAGCCTGTCGAGGCCATGGCACCGAGCCACATCAGGTGTGGCTGCGAAAAACCCTCATACATCATACATGCAGTAGTTGTTTGCTGTATAACTTGTCGGTGCTCCTGTCGTCCCGGCCCCGCGTGATCGGACCCCCATGTCACTTAACGATTCGATGCACACGTCGGAGATGGGGACGGAATCGGGACATACCGGAGTTTTGCACGATGCAGCACCAGGTGACCTCTTCGGTTGGTGCACGTCTCTGGTGCAGCAGCTGAAGTTGTGTGGTCCTGCGCTTCAAGCGCTTCTCTGAGTCCACCGGGACAGCCCCGCATGCTCCGTGCGTTACTTCATCGGGAACGAACATCTGGGTACACGTGACACCGGCTGTCCCGCTCCGTCCTGGTCTTGGTGCGGCCGCTGTCACACGCTCGTGCGTGGTTGAGTTGTGGCCCTACAATGGTCATTACATTACCGTGATGATCAAGTCCCGGAAGAACAGCACCAGCGGCCGGGCTAATTAGCGCATTGTTCGCAGGGGTCGGAAAGTGAGCGTGGTACGCCTATCGACTCGCTGCGCCTCAGAGGCCGCGCCTGGGACAAAGGCTTGTGTCGTGCTGTGGAGGCTGAACATGGACACTACGGGTGGCTAATGATGGCATGCTCTGGCGACATGCAGCTGGAGGCGAACTGAGCCTGGCGAGACGATGAATGGATGGGGTTATGCTGATTTCATTGCGCGTGGACTTAGACATCATTGCCTGTAAACATCGTCGCGTGGACATGTGACACCAATGGGCTCGCATGTGCAGCGGGCGCCGAATTATGAACTTGTCGACGACTCAGGCTGCAGGTGATTTGCGAAAGCAGCCGTCCTTATAGAATTTGGCTCTTTAACACATGATTGGCAACGGGATAGTGGCCCTGAAAATATCTAGGAACTTTGCCGCGTGGAGTTCTGCAGTTTGCCGAATGCTTATCCTCACGGATCGATAGATTCGAACCGCATTCCCATGATTCTATACTTTTCGCCGTTCCCATCCTGTTCTAGTGCGGCTACCGTAACGCCGCTATGGCAAGATGCAAAACAGAGTTTAAGTATGCCTGTTACCGCTAAAACCGGTGTGTGGTGCGATCGCACGGGTCTGCCCTCTGCCACCGCAAAGTACGGACCGAGGCCGTCAGCTGCCGCGGCGCCCACAGCAGCTTGCGTTGTCTCCACTCACAGAGTACGTCTGACTGGCATATTAAGCGGCATTGGAATGTGGAGCTCTCGCCGCCGACTACGCGATGCGAGTAGTGTGAGGCTGATATTCACGGACGCCGTGAAATTGCCGGTAATTTGTAGCCTTTTATCACGAGTGCACCGCGGGCTTCCAGGCTCCCCGCAGCTCCGTGCACGCTCCAGCCCTGCATCCGGACGCTAGCGGGGCAAATAAGGTCATGGGTGCCCGGTGCACAGCTGAGTCACCGTTGGCCGCCCCTCGTCGCGGCGCGGTCTCGCCGCCTGGCGTCACCTGGCGGCCACGGGCTGTTTTTGCGGCGCGATTGTCGCGATTGCAGCGATTGTGGCGCGCGGCGCAACGGGACGGCCGCTGGCGGCGGCGGCGGCGGCGGCGGAACCGGTGGGGTGCCGGTCAGTGACGCCGTCGCAGCGGCTCATGGGCGGGCAGCGAGCTCGTCTCAGAAGAGGAGGCCACTGGCCGGCGGTTTGTAGCGGGCTTGCGGACGATTGGCGAGCCGTGTGAGGAGTCATGTTGCCTGGCTGATGACATGCTGTGGGAAGCGGTTGTGCTAGAGCGGATTCGCAGCGCATCAAGATTTTTCTTTTCTACGTGGCGTCATGTAGAAACTTTGCCAGATGTGTTCGTAGTGCGACACGTTTTTTGGTTGCATCTTTGTGACTGTCGTGGCAGGAACTGCGCATGCAAAGACACAAAGATATTCGTTTGCACGTACTTTGCGTGTTCGCAACAATGACAACTGCAAATGGCGTGTTTGTAACGCCGAAAAAACCTTGGTATCAATTGTGTTTTGTCTTGGGCACGCAAATTGACCTCTGTACAATCGAATCTCTTACGCCATTCTGTCGCGCTTTGATCAAGTTGCGAAAAAAGTTGTGCACGTCCGGGAAAGAATCTACGCGACGACATGTAGAGTCTTTGTTGTCCGAGCTGCTACAAGCAACAAAAGCCGCAGATTTGTGACGTATGACGCCATGAGTAACGTCGACAACATGGATTCTGGGTCGTCCTGGTCGCCGCGAATGCAACCCTAGTCACGCGGGCGCGTGTTGACGTATACCACCGTCGGCTGAGGTCGGATGACGCTCATCCTGTTTGTGCGAGCCAGCGCGTGAGCCATGGAGACCCTGCGGATCAAAGCATGTTAGCCGCGGCACACATCTGCGCTGACGAGGGTGGGGTCTCCAGTGAGGGTAAAAAGCATCACCAGAACGAGTAATGTAAAGGAGGTGAGGGTGGGTCGGCCGACATGACCCCGGACGGCGTTCGAAACCGCGCCGGATGAAGGTCAGTCGGCCTCGGCCCGCGCGCGTCCCGGTCTTCTGTGGTGCTGATTACGGGCTGGACGCGACCCGGCGGCGCGGGTCCGCGCCATACCGCCGTGATCCCCGGCCCCAAGGTCGCGCCGTCCGACGTGGGCTCCGCGCGGAGGACCCGCTGGGATAGAGGTGTGCTCGACACTCAGGAGGACCCGCTGGGACAGAGATACGCTCGAAACGCGAGGTGGGCCTGCTGGGACAGAGGTGCGCTCGAAAATCGAGCAGGACCCGCTGGGACAGAGGTGCGCTCGACACTCGAGGAGGATCCGTTGGGATAGAGGTGTGCTCGACACTCGAGGAGGACCCGCTGTGACGGAGATGCGCTCGAAACGCAAGGTGGACCTGCTGGGACAGAGGTGTGCTCGAAACGCGAGGAGGACCCGATGGGACAGAGGTGCGCTCGAAAATCGAGGACCCGGTGGGACAGAGGTGCGCTCGACACTCAAAGAGGGTCCGATGGGACAGAGGCGTACTCGACACTTGAGAAGGACCCGCTGGGATAGAGGTGCGCTCGACACTCAAGGGGGGTCCGATGGGACAGAGGCGTGCTCAGCACTCGGGAGGGATCTGATGGGGCGAAGATGTACTCTACGCTCGTGGCCGTGATACACGCTGTTTCGTGAGCCGCCGCGGGCGCTCTCTTTTAGTGGTGGGCAGGCGGCCACATGGTCGGATCCCCTGTTATGGCCCTGTCGCGTGCTACCGACGGACTGGTCGGTACGGTGGCTGCTGTCGCGTGCGTCATGTATTAAAAAACGAGCCGATTTGTCGCTCTTTCCTGACATGTTCTGAATTTGGCCACTTGGAAATTGCGGTCTGGTGTCCTTTTCTGTGACTTACCACCATGTGCGCAGTGTCGTTTGATGCGCCACTGAACTGATGCATATCCTATGTGCTGTTTTGCAGGCGAGTCGGGTCTGGGCAAGTCGACGCTAGTCAATTCCATGTTCATGGCCGACATATACAACAACGAATACCCGGGCCCCTCGCACAGAATCAAGAAAACCGTGGCGGTAAGTCTCATTATGTTATATTTGTACGTAGAGAGTGCAATGCATCATCGAAATTTCAGGCTCACGGCGAGTTCGATCACTCCGTGCTGCAGTCAATCGTGCCCTTCATTTTGTTTCGAAATGGTGCTTGCGAACTTCTGGAAGGGAGCGCGTTATTGGTGCTGTCAGCATTTGGCTGTCGCCAGCGCCCGAAGACCAGGCGCAGTAATCCATTTCGTGTCGCAATACCGTCCGCCCGAGCCTCGGGCTGTGGCGCCATCGTGTGGTGGAAAAGTAATGATTGTTTTCCATGCCTACCGCCAGGTGGAGAAGACTGTCGCGAATCTGAAGGAAAACGGCGTAAACCTCAGTTTAACAGTGGTTGACACGCCAGGGTTTGGAGATGCGGTAGACAACAGCAATTGGTGAGTTTCTGCGGTTTTTTCCTACATTTGCTTGCAGCCCCAAACCGCCTAACCATACGTCACACCTGACGGTCGGAATCCGGGCGTGCTCCGCTCTATCCCACTGACGCGCCCTCCGCACTACAGCTGGCAGCCGGTGATAGAGTACATCGAGTCGCGGTACGAGGAGTACTTGAACGCCTGAGACGCGCGTGCGACGCACTGAGGTGCTCGACTCGAGGGTGCACTGCTGCCTGCACTTCATCGCGCCCTCCGGCCACGGCCTGAAGCCGCTCGACGTCGAGTTCATGAAGCGGCTGCACGACAAGGTCAACATCGTGCCGGTTATCGCCAAGGCCGACACCATGACGCCCGAGGAGATCACCCGGTTCAAGAAGCAGGTGCGCGCGCCGTGTGAGGCGTCCGTTGTGAGGGCTTGACGCCCAAGTACAGAGGGCAACTCAGGTCCTGGTGGTTGTCTTTTAAAGTGAACAGTTTTGTATTTTGCTGCCTTGGAATTGTTGGTATTGAACAGATCATATCTGAGGCCCCTAGAATCCTTCCTGGCAGTTCGTGTGTCGCATTTGCAAACGCCGTTTTAGCGAAGATGTGTCGTAACACTCCATTACTCGAGTATTCCTGGAGAGTATATATATATATATATATATATATATATATATATATATATATATACCACATGAGTGTATATTGCACATGGCTTGTCATGCCGCGCCTGACGCACGTGCGCACCCACCCGATCCGCTCACGAGCTCTTCGTCGGCGGCAGATCCTGAACGAGATCGCGCAGCACAAGATCCGTATCTACGAGTTCCCCGAGTGTGAGGACGAGGACGAGAACCGGGCGCAGCGGGCACTGCGTCAGCGTGTGCCGTTCGCCGTTGTCGGCGCCAACACGGTCATCGAGGTAAGCAGGCGCCATCGGCCGAGCGCAGTGAGAGTGGGGGGTGGGGGGGGGGGGGGGGGGGGGGGGGGGTCCGGTACCTGTTACTGAGTTACAAGGCATACCTCTGTTGCGCGCTGAGTAGCCGAACTGGAATGCACTGAGGTAGGTGACGGCGCTGTGAAGAATGCTTTGCATGGACAACTGATTGTATGGAGATGGTATTTTCATTGTTCTGGGATCGCTTGGCGCGCTTTCGTACCAAAGGTTAGTTATTTTAGGTTATGATTTACTTATGAATGATTTGTTATGGTTATGATGTTTGTGTAACGTCATTGCGATTTAACACATTTCGGAGGTGTGCTGGATTAGTGACGCGTACTTAGTGTTGTGTCGTCTTTATTCTGCTTCAAAACAAGTCACACTCGACTTTATTCCCTCATTCCATTGCTGTTCTGCGTGCGCCCTGGAGCCGTATGGCGCCTTCAGAGTCTCTGCCCCACTCCACGCGTATCTCACCTCACCAAGAGGCCGGTCGTGCCCACGCTCAGTCTGTCTGTTAATGTCTTGTGTGGCCACCAGGTGGACGGCCGGAAGGTGCGCGGTCGCCGGTACCCGTGGGGCGTGGTCCAGATCGAGAGTATGGAGCACTCCGACTTCATCCCGCTCAGGAACATGCTGGTGAGCCTACAGATGCCAGCACACCTGGCGTCCCGTTGGTGCCCATGCAGCGATAGCCTTGGTGTGGAGGCGTCAGAGGGTGGTTGGATTTAAACCCTCCAGCACCGCCCGGCCGTCACGACGTTTGCTATGATGGTATGGTGTGGTGTATATCACGGCGTTTGTTATGACGGTATTGTGTGGTGTGTGTCACGACGTTTGTTGTGACGGTATGGTGTGGTGTTTGTCACGACGTTTGTTATGACGGTATGGTGTGGTGTGTGTCACGACGTTTGTTTTGACGGTATGGTGTGGTGTGTGTCACGACGTCTGCCACGACGGTGTGGTGTGGTGTGTGTCACGACGTCTGCCACGACGGTGTGGTGTGGTGTGTGTCACGACGTTTGCTATGATGATATGGTGTGGCGTGTGTAGCGGGGATCGTGTGCGCTTTTGGCCGCCGCCTGCATCTGTCGTCTGGACTGGTAAATTGAGGTGCGGCGTTGTCACTACCGTCGCCGCCATCCTGTACCCCTCCTCACCGATGTGCTCTCCGACAGTGAAACTCACTGTCGATGCAGTACGACGTAGCCTGACCCTGCCCCCGCTCGTGCCGGCAGATCCGCACACACATGATGGACCTGCGTGACATCACCAACTCGGTGCTGTACGAGAACTACCGGAGTCGCAAGCTGGCCGGTCTGGGCGCCGACGGCAAACAGGCCAAGATCGTCAACAAGTGAGCGGCATGCTGACGCCGGCGCCCACGCCTCGTGCCGTCCTGATGATCCTGCACCCACCTCCACCCCACACCCTGGCATCCACGCTTGTACCAACTCATGTGCCTGCGCGTTTCCCATACTCACAGATGGTCTAGCTCTGCTGCTCAGTCAGCCGTGTGTTGATTAGTGCAACGGGGCACCGGTCTTTTCAGCTGTGGGATTTTTCGGTCTTTGTATGGGCTATATGGGGTATGGGGCATCCGGTCTTTATATGACAGTGTATTTATATGGGATATATTCATTAGATCAACAGTTTGGGAAAATATGTTAATTCTAGAATTTTAACAATATTGGAATGGTTTTTGAGGTCAAAAAGTTGTAAGAATGTAACCTTGATATCATGGGGAAGGTGAAAATTCGCGACATGTAAAAATGTCAGTGGTGCTCTACAGCTCTCTATTGTATCATCAGCTGTGATGCGCTAGTTAAAAGGCATTTTTCGTATTCCAGAAACCCGTTGGCACAAATGGAAGAAGAGAAACGAGAGCATGAACGCAAGGTGAAGAAAATGGAGTCTGAGATGGAGCACGTGTTCGAGATGAAGGTCAAGGAGAAGGAAAACAAGCTGAAGGAATCCGAGAGCGATGTAAGCCATCCATCGTCAGCGTCTAGAAGTCTTCCTCGTTGTGTGATCTGGCCAAGTACTCTATGCGTGTTCCCGGAGCACATTTTTTGTGTGTAAAGTAAGCCAGCGAGCCGTGCTGATGCAGTTGTTTCCTGTCTAGCATCACTCTATTTTCTTCGAGTTGCACATTGCGTTGAACCTGTTGGCGGGTTTTCCTTCTTAAAGGCACTTTCGATGGTCATTTTATGTCCGATCTCATGAATCCACAACAACATTGTTACTAACAGACGACAGAGTGGTATGAGCGTGGAGCGTGCGCGAGCACGTTGTACCGTCACCGGTCCATCGTCATTCCGCTCCTGATCCTGTGTGACCTTCATGATCCTCCGTTGACCCCGTGACCCCGCCTGACGGCGGCACTGCTCCGCTCGCAGCTGCACCGCCGCGAGGAGCAGATGCTGGGCCCGCTGGAGGAGCAGCGCCGCGAACTGGAGGAGCGACGCGCTCAGTTCCGGCGCGAGAAGGACGACTGGGAGCGACTCAACGGCGTCACCATCGACGAGCTGCGCCGCCGCGAGCTTGAGTCCAACAGCAAGGAGTGAGTGACGACATCGAACGCTGGACGGGAGGGGGGGGGGGGGTGGGGGAGTGAGAGAGTGGCGTCCAACAGAATGGACGGGGTAGCGACAGGGGACCTGGTGGCGTGGGTGCGGAGGGTAGCCGAGTTGAGTCAGTCTGATGTCCGATGCGTTCGAACAGTGAGGGTGGAGAGGAGAGAGAGAGAGAGGGAGAGAGAGAGAGAGAGAGGGAGAGAGAGAGAGAGAGAGAGAGAGAGAGAGAGAGAGAGAGAGAGGAGAGAGAGAGAGAGAGAGAGAGAGAGAGAGAGAGAGAGAGAGGAGAGAGAGAGAGAGAGAGAGAGAGGAGAGAGAGAGAGAGAGAGAGAGAGAGAGAGAGAGAGAGAGGAGAGAGAGAGAGAGAGAGAGAGAGAGAGAGAGAGCGAGAGAGAGAGAGAGAGAGAGAGAGGAGAGAGAGAGAGAGAGAGAGAGAGAGAGGAGAGAGAGAGAGAGAGAGAGAGAGAGAGAGAGAGAGAGATGAGGGTGATGGTAGATGGCTTGGAGAGTGGCTTGAGGAGAGGAAAGAGCGGAGTCCAAAGGCATAGTGTAAATGACCATGAAGGGTCTGATGAGTGAGCTTGGACAATGGGGACAGGGGAGAGCCCGGTCCAAAAACAAGATCCGCATGAGGATAAAGTGCCACAGATGTGGACAGGAAGGGAGCCGGGTGTATTAGCAGAGGGCGAAGAACAATGTAGAGCTGATAGAGGGGAGACGATAAAGGTACAGGGAGTGACGATGAGCGTGGCTAAAAATATGAGTTGCGAAGAAAAATACACAGAAATATGCTCAGGTAAATGGAAATAATCAGAAGCAAACGCACAGTTTGAAAAAGTGGTGAAGGATCGTAAAAGACATCGTCGCGTTTCAAGTGCGTCGTGTTTGACTGTGATGGGTCAGTTATCGCAAAGGCTGATAGTGCGCATGAGCAGGCGTACAGGCGTAAGTAGGCGAAGGGTGGGACAATATCCAGTGCGCTTGCGTCTCTGTGTCTCACCGCCCTTCCGTGAACCTCGCTCGTCCGTCCCTAGCCCGGCTGTGTGCGTACGTGCGTGTGTTTGCGTGTGTGTGTCTCCCTGTCCATTCACCCGGCTGGCCTCATCCGTGCCTGTGGCGTCCGCTGACGCCGGCCTCATCCGTGCCTGTGGCGTCCGCTGACGCCGGCCTCATCCGTGCCTGTGGCGTCCGCTGACGCCAGCCTCATCCGTGCCTGTGGCGTCCGCTGACGCCGGCCTCATCCGTGCCTGTGGCGTCCGCTGACGCCGGCCTCATCCGTGCCTGTGGCGTCCGCTGACGCCGGCCTCATCCGTGCCTGTTGGCGTCCGCTGACGCCGGCCTCATCCGTGCCTGTGGCGTCCGCTGACCCCGGCCTCATCCGTGCCTGTGGCGTCCGCTGACGCCAGCCCTCATCCGTGCCTGTGGCGTCCGCTGGACCCCGGCCCTCATCCGTGCCTGTGGCGTCCGCTGACGCCAGCCTCATCCGTGCCTGTGGCGTCCGCTGACCCCGGCCTCATCCGTGCCTGTGGCGTCCGCTGACACCGGCCTCATCCGTACCTGTGGCGTCCGCTGACACCAGCCTCATCCGTGCCTGTGGCGTCCGCTGAACCCGGCCTCATCCGTTGCCTGTGGCGTCCGCTGACACCGGCCTCATCCCGTACCTGTGGCGTCCGCTGACACCAGCCTCATCCGTGCCTGTGGCGTCCGCTGACACCAGCCTCATCCGTGCCTGTGGCTCCGCTGACGCCGGCCTCATCCGTGCCTGTGCGTCCGCTGACCCCGGCCTCATCCGTGCCTGTGGCGTCCGCTGACGCCAGCCTCATCCGTGCCTGTGGCTCCGCTGACCCCCGGCCCTCATCCGTGCCTGTGGCGTCCGCTGACGCCGGCCTCATCCGTGCCTGTGGCGTCCGCTGACACCGGCCTCATCCGTGCCTGTGGCGTCCGCTGACGCCGGCCTCATCCGTGCCTGTGGCGTCCGCTGACGCCGGCCTCATCCGTGCCTGTGGCGTCCGCTGACGCCGGCCTCATCCGTGGCCTGTGCGTCCGCTGACACCGGCCTCATCCGTGCCTGTGGCGTCCGCTGACGCCGGCCTCATCCGTGCCTGTGGCGTCCGCTGACGCCGGCCTCATCCGTGCCTGTGGCGTCCGCTGACGCCGGCCTCATCCGTGCCTGTGGCGTCCGCTGACGCCGGCCTCATCCGTGCCTGTGGCGTCCGCTGACACCGGCCTCATCCGTGCCTGTGGCGCCCGCTGACACCGGCCTCATCCGTGCCTGTGGCGTCCGCTGACACCGGCCTCATCCGTGCCTGTGGCGTCCGCTGACACCGGCCTCATCCGTGCCTGTGGCGTCCGCTGTACGCCGGCCTCATCCGTACCTGTGGCGTCCGCTGACACCGGCCTCAATCCGTGCCTGTGGCGTCCGCTGACGCCAGCCTCATCCGTGCCTGTGGCGTCCGCTGACCCCGGCCTCATCCGTGCCTGTGGCGTCCGCTGACACGGCCTCTCCGTGCCTGTGGCGTCTGCTGACGCCGGCCTCATCCGTGCCTGTGGCGTCCGCTGACGCCGGCCTCATCCGTGCCTGTGGCGTCCGCTGACACCGGCCTCATCCGTGCCTGTGGCGTCCGCTGACGCCGGCCTCATCCGTGCCTGTGGCGTCCGCTGACGCCGGCCTCATCCGTGCCTGTGGCGTCCGCTGACGCCGGCCTCATCTGTGCCTATGGCTTCCGCCGACGCCGGCCTTGTCCGAGCCTGTGGCGCCCGCTGACGCCGGCCGGCTGGCCTCCTGCCAGCAGCGGCCTGCATGAGAGCTGCTCCAGTCTGGCCGGGCCCGGCCGGGTCACGCTCCTGAGGAGCCGCTCGCTCTCCACCCGGCGCCGCCTCTCCATGAGGCTGCAGGAGCCACCGGAGCCCTGTCGGCAGCAGTGACGCTTCCCGTGTGTGTGATGTGTGCGCTGGCTGCGGAACGGAGACCTGGGAGACCGGCTGAGGAGCGGAGACCTGGGAGACTTGCCGCGAGTCGTGACTTGGTGTATGCGATCGGACAGCGGGGAAGGGACGTCTGGAGAATGGACGCGAGTGATGACCCCTGCTGTTCTCTGCGGCCCGTGATGACTCTGCATGTTGAGTGTGCTTAGTCTTAACACTTACGTGACCCCCTTCTGACGTGGCCCGATGACAGGGCCAACGAACTTTTGTAACTGAGCTTGGTGAGATGTGGCTATTGTGGCAGCCAGTCATGTTGGCCGTCTCACTCTCTGTGCTGCTGTGACGGGCAGGGAAGGACTTAAGGCTGTGGTAGATCGACAGCAGCCACTCTCCTCTCTGTGACGTCAGGACAGAGTCAGGGCTGGATCACTTTTGAAGCTTATGAGGGAAGGAGTTTCAGCCGATGGTGTTAACCCCTTGGGCGAGTCAGCCGTGTCACTGGTGCAACAATCGAGGCTGCCTGTGCCGTACTCCTATCGCGAACAATTTCGTGGATGCCTGTGCTAACAGTGACTTTACCCCTCTCACTTGCCCTGGTAGTACTCTCTTTGCCTGACCTGTCTGACCGTAGCACGGTGCTCCTTGTCTCTGGTGTCCCGGATATGCGGTTGGGGTGCAGCTCGTCTCGTCTCGGGTGCGACAGGTTGTCAGCACCAACCACGCTCTAATGAGCCCGTGTTGAATCACTCCCAAACTTCCGCAATGCGACGGTCCCATGCCTCGTCCCGTCCGGTCCCGTCCGGTCCCGTTCACGCTGTGACGGACCCGCACCGAATCACTCCCAAGCTTCCACAACGCGGCGATTCCATACCTTGTCCTGTCTGGTCCCGTCTGGTCCTGTCTGGTCGGTGAAGGTCCCTGATGCTTTTGGTCACACTTCTGCGACGGTGCTCGCCGTGCTCTCACTGTGGGCCAGGCTGTCCCGGGCCTGTAACGCTTGTGGTGGTGGACGTGCATCGCCAGTGCCCTCTTCCGGCGACCTGTCCATGCACACCGCTCGCTGACTGACTGGCGCGTCAGCTTACCTGCAAGGGCCGGCCTAACGAGAGCGCTCTGTCTGACTTTGCAGCGGTGGCAGGAGCAGGTGGAAAATCCCGGTGCCCCGACTGTCAGGTGTGCCGAGCAGCTGAGTGTCTGTTGCGAGTCGGACGGGCGCCTGCGACTGACACGTGCCTGCACTGGTCCTCCGCGCCTGTGTGTCCGCCTGAGCAGGGGCGCACCCAGAACACAATCACGCGGACTGGCTGGGACTGGATTGGCAAGCACTCTGGATTCAAGATGACTCCTTTTGTGACAAAATTGCTGCTCTAGCAGTGTTCGTCTTCACAGTTCAACTCTTCGCGCCATTTATAGTCATGAAGAGTGGAGCTTGAAGTTATTGTCTCCCTTTGTGACAAAAATTGCTGCTTTTAGCAGTGTTCGTGTTTGCAGCTTAACTCTTCACGGCATTTGTTTTTGTGAAGAGTGGAGTTTGAAGTTATTACCGGAGTCAACTCTTCGCAACATTTATTGCCAACAATCCCTTCATGCGCAGCATGCCCTGGGTGCGCCCGTGTTGCTGAGTGTCCGTGGTTTGCGTCTTGCTCCTGCATGCCTGCCCGCTTCCCACGTTGTAGTCACTTTTACTTGCACCGTGCCCCATCGTTTGCGTGGACAGTGGATTGACTGGACGTGTTTCGTTTTTGACAGCCACCTGGTTGAGCAGATTTCTGTTGTTCGTTGGTTGCATACTGGAATATTGGCGCACGGGATAGATTCAGCGGTATCGTAGCACTGTGTGCACTGTTTTCCCTATTGGATTGCGTTTTTGGGATCGGTTGGCTCAAGATGAGCTAGCCGTCAAGACTAGGCTGCGGAACAGTTGGAGGCCAGCGTCACGATACAAGTTCGGATAATGAGTATATTTAATATACCTATAATTATGCAGCTTCAGAAAGCATTAAATTCGTACATGCTCACCATAGCTGTCATATCCTTGCCGCGCGGACAAGGATTGTCATACAGGCACTATTAAAACCCCCAAACCTTCACCCGCCACCATGCAATCGAAACTTGGCCAATCCTCCCAGAAATGTGAACAAGTTTATACTATGGTGCCAAAGCCGTTCTGCGTAACGTAACGCTTGCATACAGTTGATGAGGGTTCTTTGATTGTCTAGTTCAGTTCAGTTGGTACAGAATGCCACATGACCATGATTCTGGTTTCCCAAGACATACTTTATCCATGTTTTAAAAAGAAGCACAGTTTGCGAGCTGGACCGAAACTGAAGCGCAGTTTGCGAGCTGGACCAACACTGGAGCACAGTTTGCGAGCTGGACCAAAAGCGTTCGTGGACCATCACTGGCTGGCTTTCTTAAGGCATGCTTCAGGGCCTGGTCACGCGCGGCGCGTTTGTACAGCACTAACAGAGGATGTCGTTTGACCGCGTTGCCCGTTTGTCCGACGCTCGCGGGCCTGAGCACACTGCCCACCCGGCTGCAGCACAGAGCGTGTGCTCCCTCACGCACTCATGCCGTCGCGTGCCTCTTCGTGCCGCCGACCGCTAACCGGAGGTGCCGCGCGTGCTGCACGCTGAGTGGTCAGCGAGCCGACCAATGGCAGCGGTGGACTCATGTGGCCCGGGGGCCGAGATGAAAATCAGCCGATGGCCCCGACCGTCTCGCATGTTTGCACTTACTTAGCTGGAATCCGTGTTGAGTGGCTTCGGAGACCTGTCTGGCTCACTTCAGATGCGCTTTTAAAATACTGTGTCTTCCGGTGAGCTTAAAGAAGACTTTTGTGCTGGTGGCGGGGTTTTCGTAACGGTGCGGTATTCTGCTCGCTCCACTGACCCCGGGCCGCCTTCTTTTGCAGGGCAGTAGATGGGAAAAAGAAGAAAAAGGGGCTCTTCTAGTGTCTGTCTCTTTCTTCTGCGTACTACCCCCACCTGTCCGTGAGCCTGAGGACCTCTAGTGCCGATTTCTGACGCCAGTGGGCGCTAGTGCAGCTCCCGGACGGTGCGACCATCAGTGCCACGGCGAGAGCGTGGTTCTGTGATGACTTGGTAAGCGCGGCGTCTTGCGGCCGTGCGAGTGGAGGATGAGATTGAGGCACCTGTGACTCCCAGCACTCCATTGCAGTGCGCGCAAGACCCAACTTTGTGTGTGAATACCGTATTCTTTTATGCAGCGTATTGCGTGCTGACCAATGTGGCGTAAGTTTTGCTTTACAAGCTTGTCTGATTATTTACCTGTGTACCAATATGTGGCGCACTTATCGATATCGGTGTCTGTCAAAGCGAATGCTATTGTACTTTTTGTACGATGTCCAGTGACGAATTTTGACAGTGAAAACTTGCTGCTGAATTGTTTAGTTTCTCGTCTTAGCCTGCAGATGTTAATCGACGTTCACTTTTCTCGCTTATTGTGTGAAGCCCTCCTGACTCGTTACACATCTGTTTCGTTCTAGATGAAAATTTTCGCCGGTGGACTGTGGGAGAATGTATTTCTTCCCCCTTGTTCTCAAAAGCGATTGTTCACCCTCTATTTCCTTCACTGGCAAATAAGATAAGGCAAATTAAATACAGATCATGCCAAGCGCCGCTTTTTTATTGAGCTTTATTTTCACTGTTGAGGGATTCGGTAACAATGAGTGGCATGGTAAGGATTGTCAGATTTGGACACGTACCAGTGAAAATGAAGCTCCGAGTGTGCGCATGCGGCGTGGCATGAACCGGACCGATCGCTGAGCTTGGACTAGGATTGTTTGCTCCTCCGCACAGTGGTGCGCTGAAGGCTTGAACCGTGCTACTGCCGTTTATTTTATGTCGCTTGCGCATTAATGGTGCCGAGCATGTGGTTTTTGTTGGTGCTCGATGTAAAAATTTGCGTTCAAAATCACCGCAAGTATGCTTGAACTCGTCCAGAGTTTTGTTACACTTTCCTCTCATGTGCCATGAGGTTTTCAGGCCGTAGGTACTTTTCCATTACTGGTAGCATTAGATTTTGTACAAATACATTTGCGGCCTCGCTGAAGTCCGGCAGACGTTTTAATGGCATTCCCGCGCGGACAGTCAGTCTTGTTGGCTAGAAGAAACCAAAGACGACCACCTGTGGACGGGCCGCCGTTGGCCGTAACGACAGCCGCGTACCACATCATTACAACGACTCCAGCGTCATCATAATCACCTATCGCCGTCAGCGTAGTTTAGCGTTCATCGATTACAAAGTATCGCTGACTGCTATCAGTTTAATGAGGTACAGTATCCAGACCGCCTGATCAGGCAGGGAAAGCATTCTAGAAAGCCGCCTAGCATCATTCTCGACCCTGCTTACGTTGTTAGTTTATGCTAGAGGTACGCGTCGCCACCACACGGCGTGTCTTCGGGTGTTGACCACGTCGCCGGCCGACGGAGGTCGACGCTCCACACGACTGCTGCGGGTCAGCTCCTGTGCTGAATGTCACAAATTAGAATACCTGCTCATGTGGCAGTGCGCATCAAAGCAGGACAACTTTCGGATAAGACCGGACGCCGTCGTGGCCTGTGGGCGCGAGCAAGTAACGCAAGCTCTGAAGAGGGCTGGCTACGCCGCGGCAACTGTTGTGGCAAGCAAATTTAGTGTAGCGACGCCACAAGCTATGTACGGTCGCTGCCGACACCCTGGCCGTGGGCGAGACTGTCTGTGCGCCCCCCCCCCCCCCCCCCCCCATTGCCACTGAAGCAAGACTTTACGACCCCACGGCAGTTGCCTTCCGTGTCAGGCGGCAGGTGCATTGCAGTGTGGTTTAGCGGCAGTCTGTGCATCATTGAAGCCCAGCGGGCAGGCTTTTGCTTGATAATGATACATTATTGACCAACGTCCTGTAACTCGACATCATAGCAGGTGTAGGTATCACAGTAGTGCGAGAGGGGGCCAAATTTTACTATCAAGTCGGTCCCTACCAAACAACGCTAGTGTTCATAACAAACTCACGAGAAGGCAGTGCCCTTGCTCCTACGCCTATGCCTCGCAGCAGCTATTTTAACCCGTAATCCAGCGGTACTCACGTAAAACTTTAACGTGATTTCGAGCTGCTCGCCGGGTACCCAATGACTCGGACGTTGGGCAAGGCTGAATGATATAGCTTTAGTGCTGGAGCCACGAGTTACTGACCACATCGTGATCACTCCCCATGGCACACGCTTTCACCCTGCCAATGCGATGATTATTCGTGTAAAGCCAAGAGCTCCGTGCTGATTATTGCTATGATGTCTGCTAAAGGAAGATAATTGATCAACTGTCATCTGTCACAATAAACTGTCATTATCACATCATAAAACGTCTTCACGTTTTAAACGTCGTATTCTTGTTCACCACTCTTGCTATTCTTTTCAGTTTTCTTTCTCTTCTTCTTATTCCCCTTCTTCCTCTTCTTCTTCTTCTTCTTCCTCACTTTATTCTTCTCCGCCTTCTTCTTCGCCCTCTTCTTCTTCGCCTTCTTCTTCTTCGCCCTCTTCTTCTCCTTCTCCTTCTTCGCCTGCTTCTTCTTCGCCTTCTTCTTCTTCACCTTCTCCTCCTCCTCCTCCTTCTTCTTCTTCTTCTCCTCCTTCTTCTTCTCCGCCTTCTTCTTCACCTTCTTCTTCTTCGCCTTCTTCTTCGCCTTCTTCTTCGCCTTCTTCTTCGCCTTCTTCTTCGCCTTCTTCTTCGCCTTCTTCTTCGCCTTCTTCTCCTCCTCCTCCTTCTTCTGCTGCTTCTTCTTCTTCTTCTTTTTCTTCTCCTCCTCCTTCTGTTTCTTCTTCTCCTTCCACTTGCTGTTCTCCTACTTCACCTTCCTCTCCATCCAGTTCGTTTCCTCCGGTATTGTCGGCACCTGTCGGCTCTATCCCTTCCCGCCTCCTCCATGCCGGCTGCTCAGGTGGTGGGTTGTCCCATGTTAAACACCGTTCCCCTCTAAACGCGCTGCCACCAGAGCTGCCTCCCATTTCGGGGGAGACCGCGAAAGCACGACAAGATGGAAGCCGGGCGCAGATGGCCGCACATCGGATTTCCACGTAACTGTTCTCATTGTTGAAGAACCAGTCCTCCAGTACTTCTGTCCAGGTCAATGGAGGCATGAGAATTCCTGAAATAGGGCGGGAGAATTAGAAATGACCTGATATATCGCCCGTCTCAGCATTAAGATTTTGATAAAGTCAGAATAGATGGAAAGCGTCATTGTCTGGGAAGCCAAGTCCGTACTAGGTATGTACCCTGGTCAGCGGTAAAGCCAAGAGATTAGAGGCAGTGCAGTCTGGCAGTTCGGTTCAGTGCTGCGGTCTGTAGAGTAAGGAAGACAGGTCCGCAGAACGGACGCACACACACACACACACACACACACACACACACACACACACACACACACACACACACACACACACACACACACACACACACACACACACACACACCACACACACACACACACACACACACACACACACACACACACACACACACACACACACACCACACACACACACACACACACACACACACACCACACACACACACACACACACACACACACACACACACACACACACACACACACACACACACACACACACACACACACACACACACACACACACACACACACACACACACACACACACACACACACACACACACACACACACACACCACACACACACACACACACACACACACACACACACACACACACACACACACACACACACACACACACACACACACCACACACACACACACACACACACCACACACACACACACCACACACACACCCACACACACCCACACACACACACACACACACACACACACACATATATATATATATATATATATATATATATATATACATATATATATATATATATATATATATATATATATATATATATATATATATATATATATGGTCTGAGGTGTGCGCAAATGTGGTAGTGCTTGTGACCAATGTATTTATGGTTAGTGGGGTGTTGAGATGTGTGCGTGCATGTGTTTTTGGTGCCGCCTTCTGCAAGTGCATGGTTAAGCATGGGCTGAGACTTATTTCTGTCACGCCAATGTAGTTTGCTTTGCGCGTTTCGCGGTCCCCAGGGTACATGTCTACCACAAAGTTGACTTTCAAGACGCTGTAACATTCGAACCATTCATATTTTTCATGAATCTTAATGTCCAGACAGGGTCATAGACCAGGTCATTTCTGTTTGTCATACAAAACAAACAAGTTAGACGGCTATCATTCTACGACATACGACTAGTAGGACATACTTCTCCCTCGTAATGCAAACCTTCCGGACTAGTAAGCTTTTAACTTGATTGGTGAAAATGTAAAATATTTAATCATCGGAAGTGTGTCTGAAATTAAAGCATGCGGCATGTAAATATTTTTTAATGTCCCGACCATGTATTTTGTGGCAATACCATAAAACTGAAGCTTTGCATACGGTTTGTACTTGTGACTGCCTGTCTAAATTTAAATATTTGTTTTCAAGGTGATCATGGAATTGATCTAAATGTTGAACGAATAGATGAACTTTGAAACACTCTGTACTGATACCTTTAAAACGGTAAACGCACCAAACGAAGCCTTGAACAAAGGACCAAGGAGGTCATAAACTAATATTATGGTGTGGGGTATAACCAGCAATATGCATATATGTATCAGTGGGGCTTTATGACGCGCTCAGCTTGTGGGGCTATATGGCGTCGCTTGCCTCTCACCCTGGTTCCGCGGGGAATCGAACACCGTACCTCTGGTTTCCCAGGCGCGTAGTGGTTAACGCAGACGCGTTAATAACTACACTACCGGCACCTCAATACACACACACACACACACACACACACACACACACACACACACACACACACACACACACACACACACACACACACACACACACACACACACACACACACACACACACATATATATATATATATATATATATACACACACATATATACATATATATATATATATATATATATATATATATATATAATGTACCACGAACGTATGTAATCTATCCTCTTATATTAAGCTGCATCGTCAGGCAAAAGCACCCACGTACAGTGTACACCATGGTGGTTTAACGCACGCACACGACACACAAACAAAGCGAAGATATAGTACAAACACAGGTAACGATATGATCCAGCCCAAGTCTGCAGAGGTATTCAATTTTGCGACATTTCTCAATGGATGTGATAGGTCATGTTATTTAGCGCTGGGCCTATTTGTAAACATTGTAAAGGTTCTAAGATTTTCAGGTCGAACGAAGAACGTCGAATATTACATCCTGCGAAGATGCTGAAACTGGGAGCCACAACTGGTGTGGCACACGTAAATGAATGTTCTTCTTTGGAGAGGGATCAGGTTTTGTACGCATTTTCCGGCACCTCTCGTTCTCATCAATGCCCGTTGTGTGTCATCGCCACTTTCGTCGTTGTGTTCATCGCAGTTTTAGAATGCAAATAGGCATGGCCCCTTGCAATTTTGCGTACCTGTTTTGTTTAAACACACATTAAAACATTTGTATATACGTGCCTTGCACGAAATGCAGTATGCATCGCATCTGCCTTGCCCATGACCGTACTGGAGAGGACTTCAAAATACAATTTTGGGGATTTTTTCTGTTATGGCTTTATTTCAGTTCAGCACCATTTTATCTTCTGGAAAAATAATTTTTTCGATACTTTTGATGTGATTAAGTTCCTGTTTGAAATGAAGACAGGGTTTGAGCTGGGGTCGCCAGTGGTCAGAGAAGCCCTACCATATATCCAGGGCGTGGAAAAAAACGATGCAGCGGAGCGACACGAAATTTGTCGTGCCTTGTTGTGCGTCTGTGTTTTATCCAGAGGTAAATTTTGAGGTTTCAGATAGGTCTATGTGCTGACTGCGGTCAGTCGGAGGTCAAATTTTAATCACCAGAACCCTCATATCTTGTTTAGGCGTGGACAGATGTGGTAAGTATTGTAGAAGCGTCCAGATGTGAGCGTGTGCACGAGTGAGCGTCCAGATATG